TTTATCAAATTATCATTTATTGCATTGTCTGCTGTGCAAATTCTCAAAAACTTTGGAAAATATAGAAGTCCACATATTTTGAAATAGATCTGTAATTAATTAAATAATTTAGGTTAAGATTGGAAAATCGTATCTTTCCTTGTGCTGCTTTTGGAAAATGGACAAAACTTTCAGACATTCCTAAATAGAAACATGGTTTGACAAATAAAATTGTGGGATGGATTACCTGGAAAGCGTTTGAATCTTTCTATGACGGATTGATGTGTGAATGATGAGAAGCATGGGATCTCTGTGAGAGGTTTATTAAGGAAATTGTCATTCATGGTTGATATTTGTTTCATTGCATTGTCCCATGTTTGTTTTGTAACCTCTCTTGAAGGATGGCTTATCCCTTTTTTTATTCTTCTCTTTTCTTTTCTAAAGTTGTTTTTGCTTTAAAAAGGTGTATATATTTATAACTCTTTTTTTTAACATGATTGATGGCCAAAGTAGATTCATGCAAGCATAAAAAAATGCTACATTTAGTATGCCATGTGTATTAAGTAGTCTAACTGGCTATATTTGTATGTTCAGAAAAAGGAAAATGGGAAGAGAAGGAAGGAAGATCATTCGGCAAGGAAAAATAAGGATAGAAAGGTATGTACTAACCTTCAAATACAATTTTGTGTGGTTTTTAATTGACTAGCAACGCTGGCATTGGAATACAGCAAATATAAACGTACTGGCTAGAAAATTTGTGGACAGCATAACTGAAACACCGGAACAAACATTACATTTGTTTTCATGCATAGCAGCACATTTACATAAACAAACAATCACATTAAAGATTGATGAAGTTACATTTTTCATCAAGTTCAACAGAACTATATGGCAGCATAGTAACACAGTAGATTTTCTAGTCACGTGATTTGTTCTGTGTAGCAGATTCAGCCATTCGGTCACTCAAGAGCATGCAAGGATGGGATTAATTCCTTAACTTCTAATTCCACCAAAAGCCAAAGGAAATCTGCCTGATTATCTTAAGACCTGATTTGGGTGGGTCGAGAAAGAGCTCTTGAGTCAGTTTGTTGACATTTTTATACCATTCCTGGTAGTTAGAAAAGTTTGTTGGTAGGTCTACCTTGTCAGTCTAATGCAAATTGCGAGCTCCTTGGCTTGCTATGTTATTCTCTGCCACCAAGGATAAAATTGTCAAGACCATTACTAATAATATAGCAGGTGTTCAGGCTTATCGGTGAAGGGAGTACCTCTCTCTTTCTTTCATTCAACAAAAAAAGAATTACCCCTAGGTTGGAGCTACTATGATGATTCCTATAGAGACCAAAAGTTTAGTGGTACTTAAGTAGATAAATTTATATATCCACATCTTATATTGCACACATTTAGCCACAAGTATTTTGGAGCACCCGTCTGTTGAATGCCTGCATAAAACATCTACCTGGAGTTTTGATTGTTAGAAAAGTTTCAGCGTTTGGCATGGGTTTGAGATGGTCAATGGTCATCTATTTAACGTGTGCATGTGGAATTATAGTCATAAAAAGAGTCACGACTGCTTTATGATCTGCAATAGTGTATTCTATTGTTTCCTTGTCATGGGATGGTGATGGGACTGTTTGTTGTATTTTATATAAAGCTTCTGGTTGTCTTCCATCTTACCCCATCAACGTGATGAATGATTTTTACCAATTATTGTTTTATTAATTTTATTTATGTAGATTATTCTGTGTTTTTATTATTCAAAAGCCCATGTAACGTTGACATATGTTTCGCAGGAAAAGGCAACAGATTCTTCAACAAAGTCATCATCTCACCTGACAACTCGTCCCAATGGTCCTTCATATGCTCCAATGATCCCCATAGACAATGATGATGGGGTTTCTTACAAAGGTTGTTTTGGCTTTGGACAAATTAGGAACATAGAAAAGTACATGACACAAATACTATTCATATTCATGCATTATGCTCTTCCAAACTGATGGTGCTAGTTAGGATAGCTCATTATATTATTATCTAGTACAATTTTGCTGAGGACTACTAATTTTGGAATTTGATATTTCTCCATAATGACCAATTATAATCACAAAATCAATGAGATTTCATTATTGGAAATGCACACACTAATTTGGATGCGTTGAGATATTTTCGTGAAACTGTAAACTGCCTCTTTAGTTGTTCCAGTTATTAATGTTGAGTAAATTTTGGCAAAAATGTGGAATGTAGATGTACGTGGAACCTCAGTTGCTTTATTTGGCTGCTTTCTCATTTGGTTGTACCATTCACTCCTTATCCTCTTGGCTATTGGTGTAAAAGAAATTTAGCCTTCTGTTTTTTACTCTAATTAACATTGTTGTTGGTAGGAGTCGTCCACCAATTTCTATATGGTCCTCAAATTTCTGAAACTGCTATGTACAGAATCCAATCAGCTGAATGGTATTTTTCAAAATCAAGATTTTCTTTCTGCATACATATGATCTTGAATTCTCTGAAATGACAAGAGTTCAAGATAGTGAATGCCCTACCAATAGGAATTAGCAATTGGTTGGTCGTCAGTTTGTTAAAAAGCCTTCAAGCTAGAGCCAACATGCTTTGCAGGTTTCGCTAATACCACTAGCTACAGGGAATCATTTTCAGGATGGGGAAACAATGATTTCCTCAAACAATCATAATAAAAGAACACTGCTAGCATTGGTTTGAGGTAAGTGCATCCATTGTCCTAATGGTTCACATCCACTCATTTATGTCACAAGGTTGGAGGATTTAGGCAAGTTTACCCCCTCCCTTTGTTACATGCTTCCTGGGACATAAATTGCGACATAATGCAACCACAAAGCCTATGTTATCTTAGTGTAGTTGTAAAAGCATAAATAGGGTTTGATAATTACAGAATAAGACTTTGCTTTCCCAACCAATGCTAATCCTGTATGGTACAGAAATGCATAAGTCTTGATTATACTTCAATCCGAGTAGTGGTTGAATTTGCAGAGCTTAAAGACATGAGTGACGAGCATGCACTATTGAATTGTTATTAGCTGTGTTCTTTTCTCTATTTATGTTCATCACTTTTTTTTTTTCCTTACTGATAGTGTGTCATTTGCAGATATTGGCGGTTCAACAGGAGAACTTCTTGAGAAAAATGCTCAAATCTTGAGTCAAATTTCTTCAAATTTTTCATCTTTTCAGGTGATACATAGAAACTTGACACCAAATCAGTGCCAACCAGTCGTCATTGCATGAGATTCTTAGCTTTGTGTCTAGTTGTGTTCTCAACGACCATTGCTGTGATTTACTTTTGTTTTAGTACTTTTTTTCGCTTTTTATTCTTTTTTTTTACCACATGCTTGTGCAACATGAATTGCAGTGTAAAGGAGCATGAGATCAGTAGGGTGTTTGTTATTTGAAATTGTTTCAGTTCAAACTTTTCTGCATAGTGTTTGAACTTGAAGTAATAGTCTTTGTGGTCAACATCAAAGTGTTCCCTGGTGACTTGCTTCTGTGATGACATTGTTGAATTTTGAGAGAATCTAATTTCTATTTATGTTGAAAGTTGTCCATTTTCTACAGTTGAACATTCAGATCCTGTGAATGTTGCAGTGGATTGTTTTTTATTAGGCACATTTTGCTTCTTTGTAGTGCAATTGTGAAAATTGGGAGGGATAACTTGTCATCTATAGAGGTCATTGTGCATAAATGATTGTTGTTCTGTTGGATCAGAACCATGATAGCTGAGGTACCTAGTAGTAATTAAATAAATTGCTTTGTTACACAGTGTTATCACATTATAAGATAAATATTCACCTGTTGCAACATCTTATTTAAAATCAAAAGTGGATGATTAATGCCGGCATTCTTCATTTAATTGTTTCTTGATACATGATAATATCCAATCTTGATCCCTTTTTTTTGGCAGGTACATGATAATATCAATCTTTTAGGGAAAAGTCGGGAGAATATCCTTGCTCTCTTGAATGGGTATGCTCTTACCTCCTTAATTTATCATCTGACAGATTATTCTGCTATATGGCATAGCTTCATACCTTGTGCTTGCAATCATATCTTGACCATCTGGTATCTTCTAACAAGTGCACTTCATAATGCAGCATAGTGGTTGGTCAACCTATTTTGTTATCGTTTATCGCTGTTATTATTTCTTGGAACTTCCAAGGTAAAATTTCAAAGTATCTGGTGGTGGTTTTTATCACCGCAAAAGGCTTCGAGGTAGTTTTTAATGGTGAAATTTGTTAATTTGTATTGGGGGGGTATAGAGCCCTCACTTCTAGTTTCATAGGGGGGTGCGTGTGTGTGGACATGCAAGTAAGTTGGTCTCAATTCTACAATAAGATAGCATAGTGCTACTAGATTCTGAGCTTAATTCGTGCTTCTAATTTTAGCAAGTTGTGCAGCTTAAATGACATGCCAGAGACAATGAAGCAGATGCCCCCTCTTCCAGTGAAGATGAATGAAGAGCTTGCCAGCAACATCCTCCCCCCCCCATCATCCCATCAATGAAACCGTGATTCATGAGCTCGCTCTCTGGTTGCTGCCCTCTGAGTACGGATCTTTCGGTCTGATCTGAATGTATTAGTGACTTTCTGTAATTTAGGATGACTGTTTCGATTATGTTAGAGAAGCCCGTTCCCCCCCCAACAGACAAACGAATGGCTAGCTGCGTAGGGGGATTCTGACAGTACAAATGATTGAAAAACCAGTTTCTTCGCAGGTTCATTTTCGGGGGATGACAGTAAGGAACTTAAATCTTTTTTCTCCCAGAAAATGTAATTTTAGCTATCGCAGATACAGCAGCTTATTTATGAAGAAGCTCAATTATGTTTCTGACACCATTTATAAGAAGAAAGGTTTGGATCAAGGGCTTTTTCCGAATCCGGAACTGCTCTTGCCATTGGCTTCCTCCGTGGCACGTTGCATAGAGCTCTCCGTTTCTCTTGTTCGCTACAGCCATTTTTACTCCACAACCGTAAATCTCTCAACCGCGACTGCTTTGTGTCCGTGCTTTGATAATTCCTTTATTAAAGAACATTACAGCTACATAAAATTGCATAAAAGTTGGGAATCAAAGTATAATATCTCGAAGTTGAACCTCCTGCAAGAAGTCCAAGCCATCAACAGAAGGTCTCACTCTTGAAAGCAAGGAATGACAACAGAAAACTCAAAGCAATTAAAAGGTCTCTAATCCACGAGATCATGGCAAAATCTAACTGTCAACCTGCCATGGATAAAAAGTGGAATGCAATCAATAAACAACTCTAATCAAAAGAGAAGTGCAAATAACATATAATAATGAAAAAAGTGTATAAATACGTTCACTTTTATGAAACAAAAGCCAACAAGTCTATGATATACCTTTTCAGGATCAATAAGTACATTTCTCAAGTTTTTCTTAAAAATATGATTATCATTCTTTTTTACTTTTATAATGATAATAACATTTGATTTTTTTTTAAATACAATAATAAAAATCTAAAAAAATGATTAAAATCACAAACATGTTGACTGTGCTTAAAAGTTTTTTTTTTTTGAAGAAAAACTTTTGATCCGGCCGCAACAGAGTGCGAACACCTGACTAGTAATAAACTACTTTATATGTGAGCAAAATTAAATATCTGAAAAAAATCATTATAAAAGTTTTTTTAAGCAAACTAAAAAAAGAAGAAGAAATAAGAACCATTTGAATGTTAATTTTTTTAGATACATGTGGAGGGTAATATAGGCATTATAATTAAATAGGAACTTTCTTGGTAGATAAATTATAGAAATGAATAAACATGTGTCATAGAATTTAATAGTCATTTATTTTTGTAAATGCATTTATTAGTACTTTTTCCTACAATAAAATAGAAAGAGCAACCTTAGCCAATCAACTATAAATTCTTCTTCCCCTTTAAGATATTGCAGGTGAAAATACGGATATGGAAAAGTAGGGAAACACAAAGCAATAACATGAACTTAGGGATTTTTTTTATTGCTAAATGATGCTCATATCGACAGAGTAATGTCAAGGATAAACAACACAAAGCATTACATGATAAGGTATATGCATTGTAAAATCAATAACACATTGTTAGCATTGACAAAGTAGAAGGTCTAGACTGCGACCATTTCCGATACTTAGGTCTATCATTGAAAAGAAGGGAACACTGAGGAACATGTTACCCATAGAACCAAAGGCAGAGTGGTTGAAATGGGGAAGCAAAATTAGACTGTTATACAATAAAAACTCTACAGTAGGCTGGTAAATATTACGTAAGTGTGGTTAGGCAAACCATGCTTCACGGTAGTGAGTGTTGTGCAGTGGAAACAGGGATAAGCATAGAGTGTATCATAGGTAGGAAGGTTAAAATGGAAGTTTGTTAACAGAAGTAATGACTAGATAAGAAACAAGACCGCCCATGAGAAGCTGGAGGGGGCTCCTGCCGAGAACAACCTCAAATTTGAGTTTTTAAAGATGGTTTGGATACATACAACATTGACTATGGATACGAGGCGGAGAAAGAGATCATCAAGATTTGATTCACTTTCTTTTTCAGGTTGAGGGTTGACTGAAAATGATATGGGCTAAGGCCATAAAGAATGATCTATCTAGCATTGCAATATCTCATAGAAAATCTAGCTCGCAACTGAACCACTGAACTGAATGGAGATTCTAGACAGCATAAAACAGTTCAGATTAATCAAATTTCTTCCATCGACGTCAAAATCATCATCATCATCCTTTCTACTTGCTATCAGTAACGGTAGGAATATTGTTTATGCTCTTAAATTAAACCCAAACCTGATCCATGAGGTGGGCTTCCACTGTATTTCTCAAAGCTCTTAACTACTCAAGATAATTGCATTATTGATGCTTATATCATGCTACAAATAACCAGTGTTTTAGCATATTTGTAATCCCAAATTCCTACTATTAGTTATATAATTAACACATTTTTCACTTCATCATACTTCACAATAATACACAGAGAAAGCCCATCAATTTGCTCTTTACAAGAGCGTAATAATTATTCAGTTTGTCAAAAAATCCATTTGACAAATTAATTAAGAGAAAACTAAGATAGAAGCATAAACAAACCTGGGTAGTCTGATTAGAGTTCTGAGGTGAAAAAGACTCCAGATTCAGGACTCTAGCTTCAAGGTCCTCAAATTGCTGGTTCATCTGTTTAACAAATAAATAAATAAATATGGAGAAAACCAATTATGATAAAAAGGAAAGGAAAGGGAGGAAGGCATTATACATGATCAGAAAGGGCATATCTTTGATTGAGAAGGTCTCTCCAAGCGAATTGTGAAATTGCAGCTGCTGATACCGAAAATCCCACTGTGAACCATGCCAACCTCGTCCTTACCATTTTCTCGTTTCTTTCTCTTCTCTTCTCTTCGGCTACTATTTTTTAGCAAATTCAACCTGAAATTATAAGGATTTTATTTTATTTGCACCTTGGATTTTATTTCTACAGAGCGACAACATTCCACCTTGGATTCTAGGGTTGGTCAAAGAGGTGTGATTTTTTTTTTTTAACCTGCATGAGTTGCAAATGTATTTTTATTTATAAGTAAATTTTTGATTATATAATTTTTAGTTTATCTCTAACTCAGCAGGAAGAAAGTCCAAATGAAAAAAATATAAATTTTATTTTTATTTTTAATTTTAACCATTTCAATTAGCAAGTTGGTAGACCAACTAAAACGATTATTATTCTTTTGAAAAATTATTTTTATATATTTTTATAAAAAATTAAAAGAAAATGAAATAATATAAATTGTTGGCTAACATTTTTGTTTTGTATTCATTCGCTAACATTTTTTTTTATCTTTTTTTTTTTTTAAAAACTTCCCAATTCATTTTTATTTTTAATTTTAACCATTTCAATAAGTAAGTTACTAGGCCAACTAAAATGGTTATTATTGTTTTGAAAAATTATTTTTATATTTTTTTTATAAGAAGTTAAAAGAAAATGAAATAACATGCGTTGTGGGCTAACTTTTTTGTTTTGTATTCATTCACTAACATCTTCTTTTATCTTTAAAAAAAAAAAACTTTCAAATTTCAAAGTCTTGCCTTGATTTAGAAAAACAAGAATAAGTTATTTTTGATTAATTAATAATATTAGATGTTTTTTCATTTATATTGTTGTCTTTGACAAAATTAAGAGGAAGTAATGATGGTAATTGGTATTGATAAAAACATAGAGTGATATATTTTAAATTTATTTTTGATTGTCTGTTTTAATTTGAGGTCAATTATGTTTTGTTTTGTTGAAAATACAACTAAATTATTACAATGATTGTATGATTAAATTAATGTCACAATAAGTAAGAGGCAATGCTTATTATTAATTCACATATATGAAAACTAAAAAATTGCTAAACATTGAATGTGAGCTTCTTTTATACCCTCTTATGAGGTTTTGATTTGAGTTTTTTTTTTTTTTAATGTAGAGGGATTCAAATTTTTCAAATTTATGAGGTTTTGATTTGAGTTTTTTTTTTTTAATGTAGAAGAATTCAAATTTTTCAAGTTTTTTTACTAATTTTTTTTATGAGTGAGTCAGAAAATATTCTCTTTTAACCAAGTGATTCTAACCAATTAATTAATGATTTAACATATTCAAATTTAAATGTTTATATAATAAAAAATCATAAAAAAATAAAAACTTCTCACTAGAAAAAGATTGTTTACTTGTGTCTGCATGGTTTCACTAGAAAAAGATTGTTTACTTGTGTCTACATGGTTAAATACAAGTAAAGATCTAATTATAGGAGTTGAACAACAAATAAAACAATTTTGGGCTCGAGTATATGCTTACTTTGTAAAGAATGGAGGAAACTTGAATAATCATTTTCAAATACTCATCTCAAGTAGATGACAAGAAATAAATAAAATAAATAGAAAAGTCAGTAAATTTGTTACTCAAATTGAAAATCACTAGAAAAGTGTTGAATTTGTTACTCAAATTGAAAATCACCAGAAAAATGGAATAACTGAAGAATCAAAGATAATTTTAATATTCATTTTCATGTTTAATTATTGAACACATATTTTAACACTTTTGAATTTTTCTAATTTTTTTACCAGATTAATGATGTTCAACAAATGTATACTTTTTGCGTTGACAAAAGATTTCAACTAGAATATTGTTGGGTTATCTTAAAAAAAAAACCTAAATGACAATTTAAGCATGCAAGTCAACATCAAAGATCAACACAAGAAACAAAAAAGTCATGTCAATACAAATCCAGCTTCATCAGCTTTGTTTACCCCTGATTTTGTACCAATTGGTTAGAAGGCTGTAAAGAAACTACTTAAATGTAGATGAGAAAAAGATAAAGTTGGGGAGATAACTGTAACAAATCTCTTACAACAATTCAGGGATACTTAAGTTGAAATTGAGGATAGAATAAACAAGACAATAAAATTATATTAGAGTAAGAAGCTATGATGATTCAACAAAATCAAGAGAAACAAGAATTGAACATGATTGAAAAAGAAAAACAAATTATAAAAATGAATATTTCTAATTTAGATCCAATTTCTATAGCGTATCTTTAAAATAGAAAGTTGGAAATTATGCAAAAGAGGGGTTTTAATTTTTAATTAACTTGATTGATTTATTGTTTAATGTAATGTATTTTTAATTAAATATATAAAAATTTCTAAGTTATTTTAAATATATTGTTATAAACTTGATATCAATTCATAATACTTTTTTCAAGTTCTTTTAACACTTAACAATAATAAGTAGGATTAATTAATTTAAAAGATAACAATCAAATAAATAAATAAAAATTAAATAATTGAAAATTATAATAACATAAGAAGCTTAAATCTAATGATTATACTCATTGCTATATTGTTTCCATAAATATTCAATCAAATTTTAATGGAGTTGAGAGCTAATTGCTCTATCCCTGATTCGATTATAAATTTGAAGAAAATCATATAGTAGTAGTATTTTACCATGTGATACTGATATAAAAGAATTAACTTCATGTTCATGGTCAAATCCAAGGTTCAATACTCCTTCATCCTTAATAATTATTATGCAAGCTTTTATAATATTTACAAGCGTTTTGTCATCCTAGTATTGCACAGGTCCGCGTACAATTGCAAAACAAGATTGTAGCACCCCAAATGCATGCTTCATATCCTTTCTTGTAGACTCTTGCTTACTTGCAAAATATTTTCTCTTTGCTCTTAGAGGCCTTGGGATTGTCTTAACAAAGATTGATCAATTATGATAAATCCTATTTGCTAAATAATATCCTATTGTATATTCATGCCCATTAATTGTATAATTGACAGAGCACTACAACTTTTAGCAAGTGTAGCGAAGACGGGTAACTAATCAAAAACATTAATATGATTTAGTGATCCTAACATTTCAAAAAAGATATACCATATTCAAAGATCTTGTGAAGCCACCACTTCTAGAATTATAACCGGTTCACGATAATGACCAATATACATCTCATGCTATGTAGTTGCACATTTCTCCCATTCTAATGCATATAGTCAATGCTACTTAACATCTATAGAAATCCACGCTGCTCTCCAATTGATAATAATCGACAAATATCAGTCTCGTTTGGTGCCTTTAGATACCAATCACCAAACACTTCTATGATTGCTTTGATAAAAGCTCTAACACTTTCTATCGCAGTAGTTTCCTTTCTCCAATTCGAAGATATTCATTAGCAAGATCTATGGGAATACCATATATAAGTATCTTGCGAGCTACAATTATCTTTTGAAGGCAAGATAAACTAAGAACACCAAGAGCATTTATTCTTTGTTTGAAATATAGATTGTGAGCTTCCACTACATTTGCGATTCGAAGAAAAAGACAACATCTCATCCTAAATCTTATTCAAAATTGACTTTTAGTTAATTTATGATTTTCAGCAAAATAATCATTACATAGCCTTAACTCACCTTCATTTCTAGTACAATTGACAATATTGTGATCAAGAATAGAGCTACAATATTTTGTTATCTGCCCTTGATTATTTGATTTTTTTCCAGCAACCACTATGATAACAATTTGAAAGGCGAACGTTAATTGACAATATTGTGATCAAGAATAGAGCCACAATACTTTGTTATATGCCCTTGATTATTTGATTTTTTTTCAGCAACCACTACGATAACAATTTGAAAGGCGAACGTGAGAATGTCATCATCAAAATCAAAAGAATCATAAAAATTAAAACTAGAATGATTCATGATGAGTTTTAATGAAATATAATAAAGATTGGTGAGAAGAAAATGATGATGAAAAATATTTAGGTACATGAGAATATTTATAAATAGATTTTTATTTTTAAATTTTAAAATCTTAGAATGTTGGCTATTATTTTTTAAAAATTTAAAATTTAAAATATTGGTGGTTATTTTTTCAAAGTTTGAATATTTGTAAAAAAAATTGAAAATCAAAATTTAAAAGGTTGGCATTTGTTTTTCAAAGTTTGAATTTAAATTTACTTTTCAAAAATCAAAATTCTAGCAATAACATATAAAACTAAAAATTAAAAATATTTATATAAATCAATTTTAAATTTAAAAGTTTTAAATTTGAACTTAAAATTATATCTTTTACTTTCATAATACTTAATTAATTTTATATTTAATTTTATAAATTACTCATATTACTCATATAATTAATAACATCATGATTATATTATATAAAAAATAACTAAATTAGTTATATAATTATATTAAAATTGGTTTAACATAAAATATATTAAAATTAATAGACTCTTGTAAATAGCCTTTTACTATTGGAATGTTCATAAAGCTATTTTATTAATTTGGTTCTTTAATATAACATTTCTCATTGGAGATACTCTAAACCATGCCAACCTCGTCCTCACCATTTTCCCAGTTCTTTCTCTTCTTTTTAGCAATTATTTTCTAGTAAATTCAACCAAAATTAATAAAAGTTTTATTTTTATAGAAAGGCAACATTCCACCTTGGATTCTAGGGTTGGTTAATAAGGTGTGTTTTTTTTTTTTAACTTGTAAAATATTTTGTTTTTGTTAAATGTATGAGACTGATTTGAAAGATGAATTTCAAAAATAAAATAAATTAAATTAAAAATGGTTGTTTTTGTATAGAACCCTACTAGTTAAAAACTGGAGTAATTAGTTCTTATTTAGCTCCGCATTGCTAATGTATTTTTATTTATAAGTAAAATTTTGATTATATATTTAAAATTGAATGTATATAACAAAATATCATGACAATGATATATTTTATTAACAACCATTAACCTTAGCTAATAATTACTTAGATCATAAATCTGACTCAACTTAATATCATTAACTTTTTAAAAATAATTTTTATTTAATAATATAAAAATAAAGATATACTCTAAAAAACAACCTAATAAAATTTTAAATAATAATAAATTGTGAAAAAAACCTTCTAATAATATAAAAC